CCCTCTAACCCGCCCCTGCTAACGCCGCCCCTCTAACCTGCAGTGATTTGATGAATGTCCACAGCAGTGTGCGAATCCCCTCCCCTTTATTCAGGAGCTTGACCAGTCGCATCACTCGGAACAGGCGGAAGAAGGTGATGGACACCCTGGAGCTGTCCTCGCCGCTCTGAAAACAGAAACATCTATTAAGTCCTGCATGAAAGTTGATTTTTAAACTTAAGACGTGATTGTTTCATGTCTCAAGTTTAAAAATTAGAAATTATTAGTGGGATTTTGGATAGTGATGATCATTTCACTGTGATCTGCTGCTCACACTGAACTCTGTCACCACGATGTCCACCACACTGCCGACCACGATTAGAGCGTCGAAGGAGTTCCAGGCGTCCACAAAGTAGTGCTGCAAGGACAAGGAAGACATGAGCCGCTGTGCAGGATGCGTACCGACCGATTGTCCGTCTGCATTCGGTTCTGCACCCGGAGCCGCAGGGCCAGAAGCTTCAGCAGCATCTCTACGGTGAAGAGTCCGGTGAAGACCATGTTGAGGATGTCCATGACGTAGCTGAAGGTCTTGGACTGCTCGTAGTGCTGCAGCAGAGAAAGCACTCAGCTCGCTTTGGTCCGACTGGATCGGCTTTGACTAACTGGACCAGTACCGACCTGCACAGCCAGTGTGACGGTGTTGAGCAGAATCAGGACGAACATGACGTACTCGAACCCCGTGGAGTTGATGATGGACCAGAACTTGTACTGAACCGGGTTCTTTGGGATGTAGAGTTTCAGAGGCTGAGCCTTCAGGGCGTACTCCACGCACTGACGCTGAGACAGAGGCAGACAGCAGAGATGAGGCAGATGGGACAGAGTGTCCTGCAGCCCAGCGATTGGACCGAGAACAGGAACTGATCCAGCAGAACCACCAAACTAGAACAGCAAAGAAGTTTCATTTTCTGTCTGGAATTATTCCAGACATTTTATGGAAGCCGACAGAACAGTTTGGATCTGAATCAGGTTTTGAGAGTTTTCTCTTGGTTTACTTCTGTTCCACCAGGTGAACCAGACAATGTTCAAAGTGGACTTCACAAGACCAACAGATCCAGAACCAAATCAAGCCAATGATACAGAACCAGGACCAGCTGTGGGAGGAGCTCTGTCCAACATGGTGGACAGTCCCGGCGTTTCTGACTCCAGCAACAACCAGGAGACTCATTCTGTAGTTTTAGTCCTGATCTGAAGCAGAAACATAACTTTCATTACGCGGAGATGCACACAGACTCGAGACGGACGTCCACTGACCGCCCAGGTCTGGGAGCCTGGAGGCTTCGTTCACCCAGCAGGTCTTGGTGCTTGATGATTTTTTTCTGGGTTTAGAAACCATCAAAGAAATGTGGAGGAACATCAGGGAGACTTCCTGAGGCCTGACTGACGAGGAGGAGGGTACTGCTGCTGGGTGGACCTGCAGCCAGTTGAGACGGAGGGTTTAGGAACCAGAACTGGGACAAAGACGACCCGGTTCTGTTGGACACTTGGAGCTCTTGATAGCCTGATGTCCTCCATCAGCCAGAGTGAATATTTTTCTGGAGGTTTGGATGGACAACGTCTCATGTAGACATTTTGTCCTCACACTGATTTGGACTTTCGCTGAGGTTCTGGTCCAATAGGACCCAGTCTTACCTGGTTCTTGTCCAGCTCACAGTTCTTGTACTCCTGCTCTCCTTGCTCTCTGAAGGTGATGATGACAAAACCCACGAAGATATTCATCATGAAGAAGGCAATGATGATGATGTAGACGATGAAGAAGATGGAGATCTCCACCCGGTAGTTGTAGATCGGTCCTGAGTTCTCGCCATTGGCGTCGATGGCTTTGTAGAGGAGTCTGGAGAACCAAGAGACAATCGTTCAGAGCCAGCTGAGGGAGAAGAGCTGATGGAGGTGGGATACTGACGCGGGCCAGCCCTCGAAGGTGGACACGGTGAAGAGCGCCATCATCCCCATCAGGACGTTGTCGAAGTTGAAGTCACTGTTCAGCCAGATGCGCTCCCTGACCATGGGGTGGCTCACGTCTCCGTCCTTGTAGACGACGAAGGTTCCTCTGCAGAAACACACCTGGTTCAGCCGGAGCGGAACCAGAACCGGACCAGAACCGCCTCTCTGACTCACTTGCACTGTTCCGGAGTGCTCTTGGCCTCGTCGGTGCAGCGGTAGAACTTCCCCTGAAAGCAGAAGCAGAGTGAGGCGGTGGCAGCGCCAGCCTGGGCCGGTGAACGGCGGAGAGGAACCTTGAAGAGCTGGACGCCAATGCAGGCGAACATGAACTGCAGCAGCGTGGTGACGATCATGATGTTCCCGATGGTCCGGATGGCCACAAACACACACTGGACCACATGCTGCAACACACACACAGAGAGACTTGACACCTGGACGACCAGAACCAGGCCAGAACCTCCTCTGAGGCCCGACCCGGCCCAGACCCTCACATCCAGTTACCTTCAGCCCTTTGGCCCTGTTGATGGCTCTGAGAGGTCGCAGCACCCTGAGGACTCGAAGAATCTTCACCACAGAGATGGCGCTGGAGCTGCAGACACAGAGGAACCAGAAAACTTGTGATGGGACCAGAGAGGAGAAGATCCTGGTGACCCGGTGCTTTCTTACTGTCTGAATTTATTCACACTTCCGTAAAATCGACATGCGTCTGCTTGAAACTGATTCTAAAGAAAGATGATTTTCTAAAGCTAACTTGGGGATAACTCTGACCACTAGAAGGCAGCAAAGTTCAGCCAATGTGATTGTTGGTACGTCTAACCCAGGGAGAGAACTAAAACATGCAGGATGACTCTGGAAAGGAGTATCAACAGGCGTTGGTGGTCAGCATGCATGGCCTCCGTTCACAGCAGGAGTCCATGGAGACGGAGGGCTCCTCTGCAGTAGAAGGTAAAGAGCTGAGCGGCGAGGTACGAGTCCCTGGAGGAGCCAAAGCATCTAGAAAGATGTTTCTGGAGGAGATCAGGCCAGAGTCTTGCTACATGTGTCCTTGGTTAGAGGGAGTTAAGGTTTAAATACTGACTGCAGGAAGAAGGAGACGAGTGAGACGCTGACGACCAGGAGGTCCAGCAGGTTGAACCAGTTCCTGCAGAAGGATCCCTGGTGGAGGAACGCGCCGTGGACCGTCATCTGACAGAAACACACAGGAAGTCACAGGGAAAGCTCTGGGCCAAGACTTCCTGCCGATGGACGTTTACCTTCAGCAGAATCTCCACGGTGAAGATGGAGGTGAAGGCGTAGTCAGCGTAACCCAGAATCTACAGACACACAGGAAGTTCAGACTCAGACAGGAAGTACAATCATGGTCAGGAACACATCCCTGTTCAAATCTGCTGCAGGTGAGCCGAGGCCTCAGTGTGGACCAGCAGTCATCATGGTGAACCTTCTGCCTGGGGTAATTAAATCGTTATTTCTTCAGCGTGTTTTGGGTGTTTTTGAAATCTGCGTTCACTCAGCTGGTCTTGCTGCTAACTGCATCTTCACTCCTGCTACTAATTCATCCGACCGCATCAGATTTCTGTGTGAACGGTTTGCGACCCCATGTTAGCAAAGATGGCCGCCGTCTGACTGGATTGTAAAGTTGCTGAGAGCGACGCCATGGTCACCAGATGGTTGGCACACAAAGGAAGAAAGCTAACGGCAACGGCACTGACCGACTTCTGACCCGGTTCTGTTTGGAGTCGGACCAGGAGCGATGAGGTTGGGTGTGATGCGTTCACTGACTCAGACTGGCTTTCATCACTTCATTACCATCATTTATTCAGACGATGTTTAGATTCACTGTCTGGATTCTCGTTTTATGACGTAAAAGTCGGACAAAGTGCGGCGTTCAGACGGCTTGAAAGCCATCAGATTTATTTCCAGATCAAATTCATTTGAGTGAAATTTGGGCCGAGTTAAGTGGGTCACAAATCAGAACCTCAAGAAATCTGAGTTCAGAGACGAGCAGAGTTAGAAACAGAGACTCTGTGTGTGTGTGTGGTAATTTTTCTCTCTATTCTCTTATTTCTGCCTCGATGACCCAGTTAATCACTGACCCGGTCCTGCCCTGAAACCTTCTGAAGCCCCGCCCCTCCCGATGCCAACCCAGAGGCTTACTGATGACATCACCTGTGACATCACAGAGCTGGGTGTTAGTGAGGAGGCTGTGGGACTCACGTTGTTCCTGAAGGAGTGCGCTCTGATTGGATCCTCAGCAGCCAATGAGCAGCTGCTGAGGATGATGAAGACGAGGATGAGATTGGTGAAGATGTGGTGATGAATGAGCGTGTGGCAGGCGACACGGATCCTGCGAACACAAAGACGGAGACAAAAGAGTCAGGTCTTCACGTGGAACCAGAATCAGCTGGTCTCTGGATTCTGTACGGATCAGATAAATAAAAACTAAAGTTTCAACACAAGTAGAACTTTCTGAGGGTTCTGGAAGAACCGACCCACAGAACCACAGCACTGATGGTGCTTAAGAGTCAGTTTTGTTTTTCTTGCCTGGTGGATCTGTGACCCACCAGGCCCATTCAGTCGCTTCAATCTAAGGTCAAACTCTGACCTCTGGTCCTCCAAACCTCGGTCTGGGTTCGGTTGAGCGGACTGGAGACCGCTCCAAAAGCAGGAAGTGGACTACAGTGCAGGGCACTCTGGGTAAATCCAACCAAAGCTAACGTGTTAGCCTAGCACTAGCAGCAGAAATGGCTCCTGGTCTTTAGCCTAAAGAGAAATCCTCCAACCGCTAAAATCCTCCATCTTGTTTCCATCTGGTGAAGAAGGAAGTTTCTCTCAGTGCCTTCAGAGGATTTTATGTTTCCTTCAGTGGTTCTTGGTGCAGCGCCCCCACAGGCCAGGAGGGGAACAGGTTGGTTTGACTCAGAGCAGCTGGAGGTGGAGCAGATGTTCTGGTTCCAGTAGAACCGGGTCTATGAGGTGGAAAAACCTTAGTTCACTCAACTCTAAGAGTGAACTAAGGTTTACCGACTTATTTACTACAAGTTTATCTTTCAGAAACTCATACATTTAAGTTAAAAATCTAAAATTTGCAGGATAGGGTTAGGCTTTGAGAATAGAAGTTAGTTGACAGAATGAAGGTGGCTGAAATGGTTTTTAGTGTGTGAAGGTCAGTGAATGCTGAGATGCTCACACACTCACGGGTTTGTTTTGCTGAGACAGAAGAAGGCGCTGCCGTCTGGGATGGGAAGAACTTTCTCTTTAGGAGGAGCAAGGTCGGCCATCTTCAGCTGGACGCCTCCATCTGGGGAGAAGAGAAGGCAAACATCTGTTTGAGCTCATTCTACTGACCTGGAGCTGAAGGTCTGCCTGGCCAAGACGATAACAGGCCTGAACTCTGGGGGTTCTGGTCTGCTTTTAGAACTGGGCTGGACCGATGGTTCAGCATCTGTTTGGTGAAACCAACATCTCACCCTGAACCTCCAGAACTCCTTATCCCTCCCTGTTACTAGAACAGTTTTGGGTTTTAATTTGGAAAAATCGACTGGACCGAAGACTGAAGCAGAGATTCTGCTCTGGAGAGTCAAATGTTGTCCTAACATGGCTGCAGAGAGCAGTTCTGGTTCCTGGTTGGTTCGATGGTTAACGGATCATTTAGTCAGAACGTTACTGTGAGAACGGACCGTCTTCTCCTTCAGGAAGCTCCTCTTCCTCCTCATACTCTGTATCTTCATCGATGTCCACCTGAAGAGACAAAAGAGCGTTAGAAAAAACCGAGGACACGTCAGAGACCTGGTGACCCTGGTGATCTGCTGACCTTCACTTCTCCTTCGGCCTCCTGCTCTCCCTCACCCTCCGTCTTCTTTCTGCGGAGGAGAAAACAGGAAACTATCAGGCGGGATAAAATCCAGGTTTTCCATCTGCTTCTCTATCTCTCCATCGCTCACTCTTTCTTCTTGTCATCCCCATCGCCTCCAGCCAGATTGTCCACGGCAATGGCCAAGAAGACATTCAGCAGGATGTCTGCTGGTCGATAAGGAGAAGATGTTTGGGGAGTTCTGATGGATGGATGAAGAGTCAGCTGAGCAGAGCTCTCCAATAATAAAGCATCTGATTGACCATGTGTTGGTTTGTTGCTATGGATACAGTTGCCACAGATGAAGAGGATGACAAAATAAACGCAGACGATCATCCCTGGGAACACAGGGCCGCCGTACGCCATGATGCCGTCGTACATGACCACATTCCAGTCCTCACCTGTCAGGATCTGACACACAGTCATCATCAGAGACACGCCCCCTCAGCTGGTGACATCACCTGCTGTTGCCGTGATACCTGGAAGCAGGTGAGCAGCGCCTGCGGGAAAGCATCAAAAGTGCTCCGCTTGGTCTGTGTCTCATCGAAGTTAAACTTTCCTCCGAACAACTGCATGCCGAGCAGAGCGAAAATGATGAGGAAGAGGAAGAGGAGCAGCAGCAGGGAGGCAATGGATTTCATGGAGTTCAGCAGGGAGGCCACCAGGTTGGACAGAGCCGTCCAATGGCTGAGGAGACACAGGGACAGCATCAGAGACCAGGAGTTTGGGTCCCACCTGGAGGCCCAGGTGTGACCTCTCACCGTGTGACCTTGAAGATGCGCAGCAGGCGGACGCAGCGCAGCACAGCGATTCCCAAAGGAGGCATGATCTCCAGCTCCACCAGGATGGTCTCGATGATCCCACCGCACACCACAAAGCAGTCAAAGCGGTTGAAGAAGGCCACGAAGTAATGCGCCAGACCCAAGCTGTACATCTTCAGCAGCATCTCCACCGTGAAGAGAGACAGCAGCACCTTGTTGGCGATGTCTGCAGACGGAAAAATGACCTCACCAACACCGCCCAACATTTGTCAGAGAGAGGCCACCAGGTGGCAGCGCCGAGGCGGGCGCTTACCCTGGACTTGAGTCAGCCAGTCGGGCTGGTTGTAGTGTTCGGAGGCGCTGAGTGAGGTGTTCAGAAAGACCAGCAGGAGAACCAGCCAATAGAATGTCACCGATTTGACAGCGGTGCGGCAGTTCCTGCGACAGACTCGGTTCCAGCGACGCAACGTCCGGCTGAGACAGAAAGAACCCTTCAGCAACCGGAACGTCTGAAAATATGACTTCCTTCTGCAGAAACTCACCAGCAGCTGATCTTCATCACAGAAGCACTGGAACACAACAGACTAAGGTCAATTTACTGCCTGGAGGTGGTGCTGGATGACGAGGTCATGTCTTCTGGTCAGTGGTGGTTACTGCTAACTAATGTAAGAGCGGAAATACTATCTAAGGAGTTGTTTGGCGGAAAAAAGACACTGGCGCCTCGGCGAAGACTTTGGCTTCGCACCAGGTCAACCTGACCGAATTCTTTCCTTCCATTTGCGTGCAAAGCGCAAATGGAGCCAGAATTTACTGGAAAGGATGTCTGTTTGTGCAAGATAAAATCAACAATTTGAGATTATTTGTCCTATTCAGCAATTCTGAAATGGAGCAGATGTTGAGTTCGTGAGGTCCAAAATATTTTTAAAGGTCGCCCAATACACACTCAGTATGAAGCGTGCCTGAATCTTTCTGCAAAACAACAGTTGCACGCCATTGGTTGAAACTTTCCAACACACACTGATGAAGATGAGAAGGTATAAAATAGGTTGGTGTTAAGACTTCGGGGAGATTTTTTGTGACAAGAAATGACGATGAAGATTTTTGTACTGAACTGAAGAAACTGTAATGATTAATCCGTGGTAGTGTAATAAATCTCCGGCTCGTCTTCGGCCTCGCAGCAAGAACTACGTCTCTGTGCGTTATTTCTTTTACTTAGATATTTAAGAGTATAGCCACCTTTCTAATCCTCAATACTAACTAGCTAGCTCTGCTAACTAAGTCACTATTTATGAACATTAGTTCCACTAACGCTAAAGTGCTCTACCAATATGGCCTTTAGTGGAAGCTAATGTTAGCAAAGTCTTGATTAAACTGTAAAAATGCCAGAGACAATGGAAGAAGGCTACCAGCAGGCTTGACAGCAGTTGGTGTGTTCTTCATCGATGTTCTCCGTGTTCTCTGAAGCCGTCTCACTCGCTGGAAGACTCGCTAACAGACAGAGGGAGACGAAAAGCATTAAGGTTTTGACATTAGCATTATTGTCCTCCATCAGTGTGTGACTCTTTGTCCACCATCTGCTGTGGACCATTTTATCTGAAACTGACTCACCATGAGTGTCGTTGGAGTGACTGAACCAGCCAAACTTCCTCTTCTTATCGGACAGATCCCCCAGGGACGGCCCTGAGACACAGGAAGAGACGGAGTCATTACAGACCTGGACCTGGACAGGCGGGACCAGTTCGCTTATTCTCAGGTTGGACTCCTGAGAATAAGCGATAAATTCTCGATAAGAATTTGCAATAAATGGGGAACTTGAAGGTGTAAATGGACTGAACTTACATACGCTTTATCCAATCATTTTGACCACTCAAAGCGCTTCACACTAGAGTCACATTCACCCATTCACACTCACAAACGCTCACACATTTATACACTTTGGGGTTAAGTGCCGTGCCCAGGGGCACATCGACACAGGAGGCAGGAGGAAGCTGGAATCGAACCTACAACCTTCCAATCACAAGACGACGACTCTACCCACAGTCGCCCACACAGTCTGGTGGTGAAGAAGGAGTTGAGCAAGGAAGCAAAGCCTTCCGTTTAAGATCCAGAAGGAATGACAAGCAGCTGAAATATGTTTACAGCAGGCATCCTTTCCTCCAGGCCTCTTTGGACCAGAATCCTGCAACTTTTAGACACATCTCTGCTTCAACACACGAGTCAAATAATGACGTTGTTAGGGGAACTCTGGAGAACTGGACCAAACACTACGGAGGTGACTCAGCCATTTGGGTCAGGTGTTTTGGACCAGACAGATCTAACAGGTACAGAATACCAGACCTCAAGGACTGCACTTGAAGACTCCTGATCCACAGGGAAGACGGGCTCTGCCTTACAGGTCAGGAGAAGAGGTCCATCACAGAAGATGAAGGACAGATGGACGGAGAATGATCCAACCAGAGCCTTCTCGCCATCCGTTAATGGGAGCTACATGTTTCTGAAGGTTCCAGAGAGAAGATGTGCAGAAGTCTAGCTGTTTTAGGCGTGAGCACGTTGCTCATCAGAACCATAAGAACCTGTGCCCTGAAGGTTGAGGACCTCAACAAGCCATTGTAGTCTGATCCTCTCAGAAAGCAGCAGTTTTGGATGTGGACCTTGAAGGAGACCTTCAGTGTTTGTGCTTCTTGATTGTCCAGTCTGACCCGTTCACCGTTCTCCTCTCTGGAGAGATCCATAGATGATCTACTGAGGTCAAAGTGGACCTGAGGACGGCAGTACGGTTGTCCTGTGTGGACATAATTTTGACATCAGACTCCAGAAGGCACATCTGACCTCTTCAGCTGTGTTCTTGATGTTCTGATTGATCTGGATCTCTTCGTGACCCGACTAATGCTCAGCTCAGTCATGTGACCAATGGTAAGCCATGTCACATGACCTGATTCTGCAGCTCTCTCCTTTGATCCAGAGAAAATCCTTAATCTGAGCTGATATGGAGTGCTGGGCTGAGTCTGGATTATCTCTCTCTGGACGTCAAACTGCTGAACTGAAGGATGAAAACACCGACTCACTAGAGTCTGACTTACGTGGGTTACCGTCCTCGTCCAGTTCATCCATGTCCTCCGCCTGAGTGATCCAGTCCATGTATCCACACAGATCCTCCTCCATCTGCTGCTTCTCCCGGAGCTTCTGGAAGTCTCCCCGGGCCTTGGCCTTCTCCCTCTCCTTACTGAACTCTCTGAAACATTCAAACGGCATTCATTTAGAGGCGAGTTCTGGTCCGGTCCTACCATCAGAACGTTCTGGAAGTTGAACTGACCCGCTGAGGACTCCCAAAACCAGATTCAGAACAAAGAAGGATCCAAAAATCACTAGACTGACAAAATATACCCAGGGCAGCTCAAAGCCAATGGCGTCGTTCATCTGCAGAGAGAGACGAGGAGAAGGATGAGGAGACGTGGACACGCCTCTGAGTACGGGAGGACAACTGGAGGAGAGTCCTCACCCAGTACAGCACATCGGTCCATCCCTCCATGGTGATGCACTGAAACACCGTCAACATGGCAAAGAAGAAATTATCGAAGTTGGTAATTCCACCATTGGGACCGTCCCACCGGCCCCGACACTCCGAGCCGTTCACAGTGCACTGGCGGCCATATCCGGCAAACGCACACGGCACCGGCTCGTCCTCCACGTAGTTATCTGGAGACAAGAAGGACAATCAGTAGGAGAAAAGTCACTGAGGAGACAAGAAGATGACGAGGCAATACCCAAAAAAGACAACGCCCTAAAGAGATGACAGCCTGGGCGAGACAACACTATGAAGAAACATTTTCCCTGACAGTAAATCACTAAATATCAGTGTTTGACAATTGAATGCTTGTTCCCTGAAAATAAAATAAATCCTTCCTTATCTTATTTGTTTAAGATAAGGTATTGTTTAAGAGTGAAGACTCGGCCAGAAGCCAGCAGTGTTAGTCATGATCGGATGTGTGAAGGATGTTTGGGAGGTTTGTGGTTTATTATTCCAGTGGTTGCTTCAGCGCCCAAAGCTTCCTGAATCAGGAGGCTTGTAGAATCAACATGGGAGTCTCAACCTGCTGACTGTTCAGCAGAGCCTGCAGCTCCCAAAGCCACCACAGGTTCTGTCCTCGCATGAAAATCCCTTCATCCAGGTGAAGGGATCTTCAAATAAACATGTTTGGTTTTTATTTCTTTGTTTTGGGCTCAACTGGTCAAACCAAATCTGCTAAAGGCCTCCAAGAGAGACGAACCAGAAGGGAGTCACTCTTCATCCTTTCAGCAGCTGAACATTTAGGAAAGATCACCCAGACAAACCGAGTGAAAGTATCTTCATGATTCTCTCTGGACCTTGTGGGGAGTGAGTGATTACAGGTGTGACCAGTCCATTTGTGTACAGCACCTGTCCCGATGTAATAGCAGGTCCTGTGCATACGTCCAATGAAGAGTTCCAAGCCAATGATGGCATAGATGATGATGACGAAGAGAACCAATAGAGCGATGTGTAGCAGAGGAACCATTGCCTTCATGATGGAGTTCAGGACGATCTGCAGACCTGAAGAACACACAGAACTGAAGACATGTTGGACACACATTGTCCAGTCAGGTCCCTGTCCAGGAAACTCACTGGGGACTCCAGAGACCAGCCTGAGGGGTCGCAGCACCCTGAAGGCTCTCAGAGCCTTGACGTCCAGGCCTCCCGGCTTCCCTGGCATGTGGTGAGTGGTTGCCTGCTCACCACTTGACTTATGAGTCATCGTCTCCAGGACGACGCTGAATAACCTGCACAGAAAATGAAAAGTGAAACATCAGTTACATGTTGTACTTCTGAAGGTGTGGCTTCTAGGAAGGAGGAGTTGGTATCCCCAGGAGTTTCCTCCAGGTGTCTCACTGTTCAGGTTTGCATCCAGTTAATATGTTGGTTTCTGTCGGGTCCCTGAGGACTGAGTAAACTGAAACTACCCACCATGTGACCCTCCATCGACTGCTGACCTGGTAAAAACCAGCCCCTTTCTCTACACTTTGCTCCGTCCAGAGGGTCTGGATGAATATTGAGAAATGTTTGTTTTCTGGAGGTGTAAACTCTGTCAAAGTTCAAAAAGATTGTCTCTGATTTCACTCAATCGCTAATATCTGGCCATGACGTATGTCATGCTAACCCTGAGGGGAGTAAGGTGACTACATCTTTGCCAGCAATAAAATGCTTTAATCACTCCTCTTTAATTGCTAGACGAGATGAGTCGAATGTAGTTGCGTAGAAAGGTGATGGAAAGGTTAGGAAGTCACAGGTCCAGGAGGGAAACCCAGACGTTCTCTCTGCAGCTCACCCTGCAGGATCCCAACGTATTCCTGGATAACAAGGATAACCAGTCCCACCTTGGAGTTTTGGATCCTCACCCACTGGGAAGGACCAGGAAAACCTCCAACTGGAGGCGTCCAGATGATCAGATGAAGCTGGAACCCTGTAGAGCAGCAGCAGCAACTCTGCAGAGGAGACTCCTTTCAGGTGCTTGTGTTTTGGTTCTGGTTCTTTTAGTCCTGGTAGGCATCTCAGGACCATAGATGAAGCAGTAAATCCTTTTAGCTCGCCACCACAGATCAGGCGTCCACTGAGACCTTCTCCTCATCCAGGCGTTGCAGCTTACATCCAGTTTCCTGCAGAATAGCATGAAGCAAACTCCAGAAGGTCCATTGCTGTCTCTGATGCAGTGAAGTGGAGCAAAGCATCCCCAGGGAGAGTTACCATGACAACAGCTTTATCATCACCAGCATCATCATTGCTCCGAGGACGTCCAGTCATGTCTCGTCCTGCAGTGAGGACAGAGGATGAAGCTCCAGGTCTGCAGGCTCAGAGCCAACCGCTCCATCATCTCCAGACTGAAACATTTCAGCTCAGTCAGGCTGGATGGATGGAGAACATCATCTTTCAAGTCTGGACATGGAATCTCTATTGCAACCTCGGCAGCCATTGTTCAAAATGGAAATAATGTTTGCACTAAAATGGACAGTCGCTTTTATCAGTAGTAGGCACAGCTGACAAAAAAGTTTGGCTCAATAATTATTAATTCACTAAACAAGAATCTCTTAGCTCTGCTAACGCGAAACCGCTACACCTAAAAAAATTAGCAGAAGCTAAAAGTAACCATTAAGTTGACTGTCTGTCTGTCTCTCACCTTCTCCTCCTTCCCGTTGATGACTGGTGTGAGACCCGTGAACAGCAAAGTTCCCCGTTTCTGATTCTGCTGCATTTTATTACTTTATGAACGTTATGATCAAAGTGGAAAACATGAGTTGATATAAAGTTAATCCATTAATCCAAGTCATGAAAATGAGGAATATCTGATGGCAGTAACTGGTTAAGCTCTCGCACTGACCTCGTGTGCACTTTTACAAGATTTTCATTTTTTGTGGTTCTGGGAACTGACGGTCTGACGGGACACCCCTATCTCTTCCCTGTTGTCTAACCGTGACATCTGGCTCAGTCTTCCTGAGCACCGAGTTACGACTACAGCATAGTTAAAGGGCTTAAAAATGACAGCCATCTTAAAAAATTTCTGTTATCTTGAAATTAAAATGGCTGATGGGAAATCTGAAAAACAATCAGTCTGAGAGGTATGCATGGTAATGTTTATGTTTGCATCCACACTTCAAAGATTTTTGCAGTAACATGCTGCACCATGACGGTGGTTGCTCTATAGGGTTCTGAAGAACTTCTGAGGCCAGAACCAGAACCCCTCCAGTTACACTGACATCCTAAACTCAGTTGTGTGCTCTGGGCTTTCCTCGGGTGTCAGAGGACCGCTGGAGGAACAACGATCCTCGGCTGGCCTGGGAACCAACACTTTGGGAGGATCTGGTCCCAGTGGCTGGAGAGAGGAAAGTATGGGTCTCCAGGCTGCTGATGAATGGATTTTATTCATAAAATCATTGAAAACTATGAATCACTTCACTTCAGATATATAAACTACTGAAATAAAGCGGGTCAGAACCTGGGACTCACACACAGAAGGATTGAAAGGCCTACAGAGACCTCCAGGTCTTCTGTGTTCCTACCCAACAATGACGATGACGAAGTCCAGTAGGTTCCAGCCGTTACGGATGTAGGAGCTGGGGTGCATCACCAGACCGTAGGCCAGGATCTTCAGGAAGGTCTCTATGGTGAAGATTATGAGGAAGACGTACTCCACTTGTTCCTGAAACACAGAACAAGGTCCGTCAGAACTGGACAGCAGAACACGTGATTGGTTCTGGTGACAGGAGAACATGGACTGGATGATCTCAGTAAAATGTTTAAGTCGGTTGGGTGGAAGACCAATGAACAACATCTCCTGAGTTCAGCTGAGAGCGAGGCGCAGCCATCACTCCAACAGGAAGTGACTGTGTGAACAACAGGCTCGGTCTGTAGATGGAGGAGGACGCTGAGAGCAGAGAGAGCTGGAGCAGCAGAACAGAAAGTCCTCAGAGCCGATCACAGATCTGTCAATCATCCGCTGCTCCGGCATTTATCTTGCACCGCTGCCTCCACAGCCCCGGGTTCTCATTCTGGAGGTCAGGCCTTCTCTCACCAGGTCATGGTTGGTGGAGTTGGAGTCATCTTCAGGAAATGGTTTGGAAACTCCCAGAGCCACACAGTTAGCAAAGATGGCTAACAGGATGAAGATATCGAACGGTCTGAGAAACAAGTTCAGGAAGTTCTGAAACTACCAGAGGAACTGCCTGATCCTACATCTGATCTGTAGCTTCCTGTTCAGTCAGGAGCCTTTAATGGCCCCAGAACCCATTTCTGTCTCCCGCTGCTGGAGGACTTCCTGGTTTCTGTCCAATCAGAGAGCAGAGACACATGCCCACTCTCTTTCCCTTCCAGTAGTCTCCAGCTCAGCATGGTTCTGGAGACACTGGACCTGGAGGTTCTGATGACCGTGTCAGATCTCCCACAGAAAACAATAGCTGTGTTTCCATCAGTGTTTTTTATTCGCATTTTGAAGTATCGCATTAAAAGTGGTTGATGGAAACAGCAAAACTCAAAGATTTTGCACTTGCTTGAAGTGGATTTTGGGTTTTCTGAAAAATAGTTCATTAATGGGAGATGGACTCACATTTGCCCAATAAATTCTGACTTTGCAAACTTTTTACTGTTATTGCAGCTGCGTGTACGTCCACATCTGACCAAATTATGCTAGCCTGGTTAATTCATTCCAGACCAGGGGATGGAAACACTGCTAAATCGCATTTTCTCTATTTGTGATATTTTAAATGTTTGCTCAGATTTGCATGAAAATTGGGTGAAAACATCTCTCTGTAAAACCAGAACCATTTGCATGTGATGACACCAGAGGGTTCTGATGCCAACGGAACCAGAATGATGTCAGGTTCAAACTGGAATTATAAATAATGTGTAACCATGGTTACACATTATTTATAATGTTCAGGTAGCTGATTGGCTGAAGGATACTTCCACTCGACAATGTGAAGTGCGGCGCGTCGGATCGGGTTGTTGAGCTTCAGACAGAACAACGCTCTGGGGGCCCGTTGGACCTGGTTGCTGCCCTGCACCTGAGGAGGAAGGTGACAATATCACTTACATCATCAGTTTCTATGGTAATGTGTCCGGTTCAGAGTGAAGAGCCACCACATCCTCCTAATGAGAAGGTTTTACAGAACAAAACGGATCGGTTCTTCAGATGTTCTAGAAGAACCAATTATCATGGCCTCTGAGGTCTGGGGCTGCAGAATGTTGAAGATATTGAGATGTTTCATATGTTAGTAAAAATACAGCTGACTTCAGTGACCACCAGATCTCTAGCTCTCATTTTATCCCATCATCATCAAGTCAGAAGAATCAGAACCACTTGATGTCAGCAGAACACCGGCATAGGGTTCTGGTCAGGAAAATGACTGAAATAACGCTGAAAGATTTTATCGTTTCTCCAAATGAAGGACATGTTTATCATTTAATATCTGAACTTCTCCATGGCATGTTTTCACTTGATGTTAGTGTGTCCTAGGCTGATGTTAATCTGTTCTAAGCTGAAGTTAGTCTGTTCTAAGCTGGTGTTAGCTTGTTCTAATTTGAAGTTAGTCCGTTCTAAGCTGGTGTTAGCTTGTTCTAAGCTGGTGTTAGCATGTTCTAAGCTGAAGTTAGTCTGTTCTAAGCTGAAGTTAGTCTGTTCTAAGCTGAAGTTAGTCTGTTCTAAGCTGGTGTTAGCTTGTTCTAATCTGAAGTTAGTCCGTTCTAAGCTGGTGTTAGCTTGTTCTAAGCTGGTGTTAGCATGTTCTAAGCTGAAGTTAGTCTGTTCTAAGCTGAAGTTAGTCTGTTCTAAGCTGAAGTTAGTCTGTTCTAAGCTGA